ATATCATGACTTCAAAGGACGGACAAATTACTGAGCGTTTGACCCATGAATGCACATTTGAATGAAGCACATGTGATCAGAATCACCCTTGCTTTCTTTGGAGCAAGTGGACATGAGCCAAATTTCGGAGTGTTATTTTTCTTTTATGCCTACAGAGACAGTTAAAATGTAGATATTTTTTTCATCCATGGGATGACAAGGAGAATCAACTCAGAAATTTATACTGGTGCCAAATTCAGATCCGGAGTCCCATCACACAAGTATTAGCATACATGAAAAAAAAAACAAATTGCTACACATAGTTTAAAGCCACTATTACATTTTTAGCATTAACTTTCCGCAACATGGCAATTCTGTCACAGTCAGAGAATCACAGACAATCGATTGGTGGCTAGAATCAACAGACCGACCAGTTGGAAGGTCAAAATTCTGATATTTTCTTTACTGAATGCATCATAGTAAGAGCTGAAGCTTCACAATGCCAGCAACACTCTCAAAAATGCTTCTGGGGGGGAAGAAGTCTCACTGTTAGCTATTTTTAATGTCAGTGAGACGTTTGAAATGAAGCACAAGTAAGAAAGAGGGTCATTAATCCGTGTTTGTTGCAAATTTGTATTTTCTACTAAGTGTCGAGGCACGTCTGCTGTTAATTTAAATGAAACGAGAGCAAGACTTTCAGCTGACAACAGGAAGGCCAAATGTATTGAAGCATAGATGCTCTGTTTTAAGCTTTTGTCTTAATTTGGAGATGTTATGGTAAAGATCTACAGCTTATAGAATCTACACAAAGAGACTGCTGCTTTAGTAACACTACCAATGCTAATAAGATTAGCTTTGTTTTAAAGTAACGGTAAAGCCTCTATGAAAGCAACTGTTCTCATTATTATGTCATCTCCCCTCCTGACATGAATAATAAATGATGGCTCACAGCAGGGAAACTAGAAAAAAATAATTTGAATGGCCTTCTAATTTCTATAAGTATTATAGGACCTTAACAAAAATCAGGATCAGTTCATATTATGAGGTTTACCAAAAAATTGCACAATTGCTAAAGAAAATGTTATCTTTAACCCATTTAATAAAGAAACAAAATCCACAGCAATACACTGTAAACATCTGAACATACTGCCATTATCTGCTACAGTGTTGTCAGAAATAAAGTAATTATTAAATTGAAACTGTATGATAATTTTACTCTCTGTACCATAAAAAATATATGTAATTTCAAGTATCACATAATGAACAACAATTTCACCTCTTTATTATTTAGCTAAGTCAGCTGACGAGCACAACAGGAAACGAATGCTACAGGTTTGTCACTGCTGCTCATTTAATAATTGCAATCTGCAGCTTAGAGTTGCAGGCTTCAGCTATGTTACTGTATTCACACGTTTTGCAGAATAACACTACTTACACATACAGAGATGCACTACTTCCCATCACCAGACTGGGTCTCCTGTATCATTACTGCATTTCCAGTCATCTCAATGTTTTGTCTAAACCGCTCTGTTGGTGAAAACGGAACTAGGCCATAATGAGGACGGTCTATAATCACAAGGCTGTGAAGCAGAAAGTCCTGAGTCATGTCAAAATTGCAACTAGGAGTCATTTTCCTAAAAATATCATAACTTTAATAAAGTTTGACTACAGAGTCTTTCTGCTTGGTTGTAGGAGGCTGTGCTTTTCCAGTCACACTAACTTTAAGTACATTACTATAGAGGTCTTTTCCACTGAGACTGAAGTCAATTAGAAAACTTTAATAAACTTTCTCACTGGAACTTTTAACAAATTTTTTTTCCCCCCCCCCCCCCCCATGATTTGGATTTCCTTGAGCTTATTACTTAAACGTAGCCAAAACACAGTGTTTAGATGACAAGTATTGGCTTAAGTTGCAGTATTTGAAACTGACGGCAGTGTTTTGGATCGCTTAATTTGCTTGGGATCCTAGGAGCCTATTTAACTGAAACACACAATGTTGTTACACAGCAGTGCAAGGCTTTTCTCCTGAGTCTCCGCTTGACTAAAGAGAGGGAGAGTGGAACAACTCTGAAAGCTCAGACTACCAGGAAAATTGCAACAAAGGCATTGATCCTCTGAACAATAGCTACATGACAGATCTGATGATGGCTGCAGAATCGTTTCCCTGCAGAGGGGAACAGAGAGTAAGAGACAGACCTGGCCACCCAAACAGCGACCACATGCGGGCAAAACAGCTCAGAAAAGCAAATAAAAACACCCAGAGAGATTATTTCAGGTCACTGGGAACCACTTGAGTATTAGACGATTATGATTTGGCAATCAGTAAAACAAAAACCTTACCCCTGAGTGGGCTTCGCATCACTACAGTCTGCAGTGAGTCACCTCGCTGTGTAAGCAGCAGATCTCAGAGCCAACTAAGAGGTTTCAATGTAATCTAGCATCCACAGAGATGATCATCAAAAACCTCCCAGATCACCTCGCACACATGGCGCAGAGAAAGTTTAACACATGGCAGGTGGAGGAGCTGAGGGTGCGACCAGCAGACAATAAACCGACTGTCTCTGAAGGAGGAATTTCACATTTTTAAAGAAAAACAGCAGGGAGTCGGTGGGAAGAAGATGAGGCAACAAACTATCATAACTCAGCAGGTAGAACGGGTCTGGATTCTGATCCATGGCTTCAGCAACCCACATGCTGATGTATGCTTAGAACAATGTAGGGAACTGTATTGCATCTTATTGGCTGTGTGAATGAACAGTAATAAAAAAAAGCTCTTTGCATGGGAAAATTAGCAGTTGAAGAGGGCAGAAGGATCTGAATCTTGAACATTTACGTTGCTGTTTAAATTATTAGCGGTAATACGAACTGTTTTCATAATAAGTGTATCAACAGGAGGAGAGAAGTAGGAAGGTAGAGCGAAGCTTAAAAAACTTATGCTTTCCATTCCTAAGGTTTAAAGTTTCTAAAGAAGATAAAGTAAAGCAATTCTCCTCCGTCTACCATTTGTTGCTGCTCACTGCTCGTCAGCAGACTTATAGATGGTACACTCTTTTTTCTCATTTAAACAATAGATAAGATGGTCTGTTTTGAAATGTTCACGGTCAGTTTATAGAACTGAAGTCAGCAGGTTTAAAGTGATGTAAATCATGCCTAACAGGACTTCACAGAGTTCCAGCTCCAGCCTAGTTTTGCTTCCATGCAGACAGAGACATAACACCCAGTCCAAGTGTAGGCACCAAATACACAGCAAACAGGAGAAACTGCAATGAGGGCAGGAAAGGCAGAAGAAGAACAAAAAGACAGTGTTTTTCAGTACAGTGTGGGAGATCTGCTTTGTTCTCCGTCTGGATAATTTATCTCCCTGAGATCACAAAGGAAGCCAAAACTGAACAGATTCTCGCTTTTAAGTTCTGTTTTCTTCTTCTTCTTCTTCTGTTCTGAGCAGACACTGTCCAAAACAGGGCATTAGTGCCCTCCTATGAGCCTGCAGTTAAAACTGTTCATCTCTGAGTGATGGGCTGTGGTTCAACGTAGCTAAAATATGAACAGCAGAGCGGTATTGATGAGGTCCAAGCAGCTCATGCTTACAGACAGGGACAGGTCTGAAAGAAAATGTCGAAAAGGGCCAATATTCTGTGCAGTTAAACACATTATTTTCACTTGAGTCTCTGTGTAGAAATCAAAATAACAATAAATAAATACAACACGATTTTAGATGCAATAGCAGTAATGGTTTCTTTTGCATTTCAAACAAATGCGATATCACATTCTCAATTTCGTGTGTGTATGTATATGAAAATAAAAAGTGAAAGTATTTTTAATCAACATTAGAATACTGGTAGAATCCCACGCCGGCCTCCGGACATTCTGAAATGACTTAAAGTCCGATACGTGTGTGGAAAAATTTAATGTTTGGCAAACTCGTCTACATCAAGAAGGTGGATCAGCATTAAACTGCAGGAGGGGAAAACTGCTGGACATTCAAGCTGCATTTGTAGCCTTTCCTGAAACTGCAGCACTTTGCAGACAGATCACCGTAAGTGCATGAGACAACTGCAGACTTCAGAGTATTTGTTTGCCTCTGTGTAGAAAGGTTGCAGCCAGATCTAGGATGGCACTAACTTGCACAGAAACTCCCATCTGCTGCAGTCAACATTCTGTGTTGCTTTATGACTTTTCCTTCCGCCTTTTGCTTCATGTCATCGGCTGCATATAGGCAGCATGTGAACCCTGATAGCAGTCTGGTGGGAACATGAATTTTCAGGATCCATCAGCATGATGTGTTTCATGGGGTTCAACATGGAGCTGTACGTTTAGCCCTTCTCTGCGCTGCACCGATGGCAGCTCGGCAGCAGGAGTGCAGACCAGTGATTAAACTAAACACCTTTACGAGTTTGGAGCTACAGCGCTGCCATCGTGGACAGCCCAGTTATAGTGATGCGGACTGCGGTGCATTTATTAGCAGAGAAAGGCACACACGCTCACACACACGCACACACACACACACACATCACCATGCATGCAGAGGCTAACACGGTGGAAAATGGACGCCAGCATCAAGCCACAGAGCAGACAAGAGAGACAAATCTCACATTAAGACGCGGATTTTGTTCCGTCATCCATTGGTTGACCAATTTCTGCAAATTCAACAGATATTTCAGCCTCACACCTGCCGTGCAAATGCAGAATGGGAGAGTGGGAGCGGATGGGGGGTTCATCCAAGCAAGCAGTTACAGGGATCTAATATGCATAAAAGACGTTGTAATAGCTAATTATAGACCCGGGCAAATAGACGGGAACATTTATCAACAGCGTCTAATTAGAGCGATGGCAGAAGTCTGAGAATTACTATCATTATTTGTCTCTGCAGATCCCACACTGTAGCACTGTTAATAGGTGAGTGAAGCGGATTAATGTTGCATGTAAATTGCACTGGGTGAACTGGTGATCCGAAACACTGCAAAGTCAAAACACAACGCTGCCACAGTGGGATTAGTAAAAGAAACGTGCAGATCTCTTACCTTCAGTTCCTTTTTATATATATCTCTCTCTATATATATATATATAAAAATTCACAGCGTCCTTGCACTCCCCAAGAGATGGAGACTGAGGGGGGAAGAAGAAGGCAAGGGGGGGGGGGGGACTGTTGAGAGGATAAATAATCGAGGCAATAAATAAATAAATAAATAAATAAAATGTTTTTAAAGGGATTGCAGCAAGAAATGATAGAAATAAGAAGAAGCACCCAAGGGAGGTTTGCAGCAATTCAAATTAGTCTCTGATGGAAAAGGGTTGAACATGCATTACAAAAAAGGCTAATACAGGACACGTCACTGAGCACGGATTTGTCTGCCGTGGATGTGGCCGCTGCGCGTGTGTGTACTCGGGGAGAATGCGTCTCCCCCGCCCATCGGGTTGGTTGGATGAGCGCTTGCCTGCCTCCCTGACCGCCATGAAGTTAGCTTCCGATTTGAAACTTGACCAATGGGTCGTTCTGCTGCATTTTAACTACTTTGGACTTTTTTATTTATTTATTTTTTTTATTTTATTTTTTTTAATCATTTTTATCCACTTTGTTAGGAAATCTAAAATACTCCTAGCAGTCAAATCTCCACCGATTTGATTGTGTCATCTCTGAGGCTAATGAATATTCATTGCATATTCGATAAAACACAGCTTGTTATTTTTCAAACCTTAATGTAATTGTGGAAAAACAAAAACTTTTTTCCCTCTTATCAACATCATAATTGCTTTTTTTTTTTTAAGAGTTTTGGAAATTAGATAAAGATGTCACAGCAAATTGTGTGTGTTTTTTTAAGTTTACTGATTATAAATAAAACCATAATTCTCTCCCTGTAATATTACATAAGACCAATGAAATAGTTTTGTAATACAGAAATTTTGGCCTTCTATGAAATATGTCCATGTACTCTCGAGTACAGTATCTCATAAAAGTAAGCGCACCCCTCACATTTATTGTATCTGTCATTTGGACAACACTGAAGATATATTTAAAGTAGCAGGTGTACAGCTTGTGTGAGAAACTACAATACTTAGATTTGCTCAAATTTGTTCATCAGCGCAGCGCTGCATGACGTGATCCACCTGTGGTTCTGATGAGGAGCTAATGAAGCTGTTTACATACTTCAACTCCTCAAGCATTGTGGAGGCTCATAAAACCTGAGATTACAAGGGTTTTTGTGTTGCATTTTTGAAACGTCTTATTAATCAAATTCACCGCGACTGAATAGCGTGCTTAAGAGACCGCTTTTTGAATTTCCTGTAATAATGAAGGTTCTCTGAGGCCCTTAATCCCACTTTAAAAAGCCCAAAATGATTTAGTCCACACTTGCACCCAGTTGGTCCAACCTCATCGTGTATACAGCGATCCGATACCAAGAGGGGCAAGACAAGAGCAGGCAGGAAAAGTTAGGCGTTTCCTCATGAAATGCAATTTAGGAAACCAACAAGAACAATAAGGAAAGGAGAGGCAGGGACATTTTATTTGACCAGAGAGATGGCAAGCACACTATAAACAGTTTGTGTCAATATCAGCAGCTCTGTGTCAGAATCAGGGCTAAATGTCAGGGCTTTGAATTAGATTAAATATGATCACAAGTACATTACTCTCACCGTTATTTCCTCTAATTATTTGTCACCGAGATGTCAAAGCTCTTGCTTTGACAGCAATTGATCAGCAGATATTTAGTGTCACTTAGTTGCTTGTAACTTTGTTTTTGTCCCATATGAGATCGGTCTTTGTTTTATTTTTGGGCAGCAGAGATATGGCCTTGAAATGTTTGCAGTTTTGCTAAGTCTCATTCTTGTTGTTGAACAAGGCTTTTCGATCAAAACTGCAGGCAAGTCACCCTTATACTGCTTTAGATGTACTTGCACTTTTGTGTCCTCCATGTTGAGTCGCTGGTTTGCTCCTGGACTAATTTAGTTAGCCTAACCACTTCTGGAAAGGTTTCTATTCCATATTTTCTCTATTTGTAGATAATGTCCTTTTTACTTATTTGTTTTTTTAACCTTTATTTAAACAGGGTTTCCCATGGAGATACAAGATCTTATATAAAAGAGAGACCTTTTTTGAAATAAAAATGTACATCTGATTCTCAAACCCTTTGAAATGGCTTTGTAAGACTTTCCAGAATGACATTTCAACGACTTTTTGTCTCATCTGTTATTGAATTTCTTTAGGTCGGAGCATGATGAGTTGCTCCTTGAGATCTTTTATGAATCTGTATGAATTGAGTTAACTTATCAGGGTTATTCTAATTCATGTTGACTTTGTAATCTGTAAATTCATTCTGTCAATATTTTTACCTGACAGTTTTTAAGTTAGACTCTATAAACCAGGTGAACACTCAAACCAAAACAAGCAAAAAGAAAACTTAAAGTAATTCTGTTTCAAGTTTTCACAGATTGAATGAAAGTTTTCACACGGCTCAAGCGCCCGCAGTTTGAGACCTTGCACGAGTCGTGAAATTCAGCGGAAGAGCCCTTTAGTCGAGTTGCGCATCGCAAGCTACATTTCGGACGCCAGCTTCTGTTCGTGTCTTCTTGCCTTGTCTGCTCCTCTATTTCTTCCACATCTCACCAGACGCATGCAGGCAACTTGTCGCATTCAGCCTAAAAAAATGCAAAATAAAGTAAAAAAAAACAAATATACTCCTCATTATTGGCAAACACCTTGTGAGGTTATGACACAGGATAATAACTCCAACAGTCTGCGGAGATCACGACGCGGGTTTAAACCCCCTCATTTTACTTCCTCTCTGCTGTGCTGTGGTCTGGATGTGCTTACTGGAGCGTGTGCCGTGCGCGCAGGGCTTTGTAAGCCCCCTGTTAGACCAGGTTCCGTGTGTGTGTGTGGTGGGGGTTGTGGGGGGGGGGGGGTTGATTGTAACATTTTGTTACTGGAACGCCTCTGCGGGACACTTGTCCTGCGTGGAAACGACGCTGATCACAGTCGATCTGGGACATGGAGCAAGAGCGCAGCCCTGCGGCAGCACACATCCACAGGTTAAGATGTGAAAAATGAATTAGAGAGGGGAAATCAACATTATTCATAGCAATTTCATATCATTGTCACTAAATGAAATTAGTAAAGATGTCTCTTGCTTTGTTTTTTTTTTTATATAAGTTGTTTGACTGTATTTATTCATCAGTACACACACACACACACACACACACACACACACACACACACATATATATATATATATATATATATATATATATATATATATATATAAAGTACTAGTTCAGGGCTGTTGCTTGTTATGACCTTCAATTGCCAATTGCCATAAAATGGCTTTACTACCCAGTTCACCCCCTTAAACACACACACACACACACACACACACACACACACACACACACACATAGAAAAGAGGGGAGAGGCCGAGCTTGATAGAGCTAATCCAGAGTGGCAGGTCTTTCATGCAGTAATGGTGAGGGTGAAAAGAGAGATCCACTCAACCCACACACATAAAGTGGAGCACACACTCACATGGATAAACAAAAGGAAAGGACAGAAGCAAACCCACAAACAGAGAGCGTGCTATCACAGAGAGTGTATCAGGAGTAAGGCTGGCTTTAGTCTCAGCTGTTGACACAATCACTCAGATAATGTTGAATTTAGCAGAGCACACAGGCTTTTTTATCGACCTGCTTGGTGACGCTTGACGTGTTTGACTTTAAGGCCCAAAACCTTAAAGTCAAACGTCTACAGCAGGTGTTTGATTTTCAGGAAGACTTGCATATATCTCAAATGGGTTTTGACAGACATTTCTTATTAATAGATAATGTCTCTTTTTTTCTTCTTCTTTTGGAATCCCTACTGATTTTTGATCTATTTATTCATTTCAGAGTTACTTTTGGGATAAATGGAAATAACCTTTACACAAATGCATAGTGGCAAATGCACAGTCAGACTCGTGCACTCATACACAACTCTGATCAATTCTTGGCTCCAGGCTGTGGTGGCTTGGCGTGACTGAAGAGGGAGGCTGGTAAATACCCTGTGGTTCACTGCAGTGCACCACTTGCAGAGATTCCCTGGCTTCTTTTTCTTCTTTTTCCTTTTTTAAGGGAAAAGTCAGAAAATAATCCTTGTTCTGCATGTTTTCACCGAACACCATTAAGATAAAACTTATCCTCATTTTAAACGCTGATTAAGTAAGACTCTACTCTTCTACTTTTCGGTCAGTTAATATTATTAAAGTTTCTTCTATTTAGTAATTTCGAGAATAATGAGAATTGTTTTTGGAGGGCTTCTTTCTTCAGATGTTGACTTTTGCATAGATTTTCTTACCATTTGTTGGACTAAATGTCTCGGGTCAAACACTTTGTGTATCTTTCTTCAAACTTACAAGAGTTTACTAGAAATTGGGCCAATTCCTTCCAACAGAATGAACGTGAGTCAGGTTTGTTCACATACATTTTTTCTATTGATCTAAAGTCCCAAACATTGACTTTGTTATATGTAACTAAAGTAGCAATATCATTAGAGTATTTTTTTGTGACCAAACTTTTTCTTCCTGGGTGTTGCACTGTGCTGTTTCTTCAATATTTGTACATACTATCATAAATTTTGTGGAGTGCAATATGATGCTGCCATCCCTGCCTCTTATTTCCACATTGGTTTATATATATACATACCAAAAAAAAAAAAAAAGCCCAGATATATTACCAAAAACAAACAGAACCCGCACACAAAGATGCTAAAACATGACAAAATGAATCCCCAATAGAAGTTTTAATAAAACATTGAGTTAAAGATGTCAACTCTATAACAGCAGTAATTTTGTCAATATTTCCTCTATTGCATTTGATCAGATTTTAAAGCTGCAGTATCACTGAAGCACTGAAAAGCAATTGCTTTAGCTTGTTTTGTGATTATATATATATAAACAGTGAAATAAAATAAAATGTGAACTGATTTCTGAGAGAAGCTTCAATTCTTTTGTGCATTCATACACAGGTAAAAAAAAAAAGAGCTGAGTATGCAGATAAAAAAAGAGCTACAACATGAGAAATAGTAATGCAGTATAACAGCTGGAGGACTTTTAGAGATAATTACATAATCCAACAAAATGATAAAAAAAAAAAAAAAAAAAAAAACCTTTTTTTTTAAAGAAAAAAAAAAGCTTTTATCATCCACTGGCCAGGATGGCGGCCCCGGGAACC